GCCAAGCGATTTGACCGCTTTTAAAATCATAATCATAACATTCCATTTGTATGGCGTTTTCCCAAGAAGAATATCACGTTCAAAGTCGACCAAAACTGTATTTGAGGTGGCGGATGGTTCTACCTGGTATCTCATTCTACCTGGTATCCATCCACTGCTGGCTGAACAAGTTCATCAGCGTCGGACAGGACTGTACCAAGAATCTCTCTGAGGAGCCACACTGTGGAACATAGTGACACATTCGTGGACATCACTTGATGTTTCTGCCGATGTGGCCTGAATTTTAACAATATTTGAGTTTTTTCACAAACTGTGAGCTTGATATGGGTGAAATGTCCAAAGTGATGAGTGTGTATGGTACTGGGATTAGAACCTATGATCAAAGTTTTCTGGTGTGACTAAGAGACACAACTCTGCACAGCAAATTGCCCCACCTTGAATGACAGGCGCACCGTGTGCCGTCATTACAATGAATAGTAGCGCTAATAATTTGTCTTGCTGCTAAAACACACTTGATTGGCCAAATACATTTACAATATATACAATAATTTTCAAAGCAACAATGAAAGATTTCCATTAAGTTCAAGAAAAGCAGCCCCATTATCATTACGCGTACTACTTCATTGTAAAACCATTGGAGGTAACAAAGACCAGTGAAGTGTGAAATAGAGTATAACATTTCCTGCGCATGCGTAGACTCATTGACCTTCTACGCATGCGCACCGGTAATCGAAAGGGCGAAAACGACACGCGACAATGCGACGTATAATATGTCGCATTGTCGCGTGTCGCGTTTTAGTGAATTTTTAGGCTTCTTTTACACATGTTAGATAGGGCGACGCGCGACAACGCGACATATTTTGACCTTGAAAATTGTCGCTATGTCGCGTGTCGCCCTTTGGAGGAATAGAAAAATATTATTCAAAACGCGACGCGACATCGCGACAATGCGACAAATGGGCGAAATGTCGCGTTGTCGCGATGTCGCGTGTCGCGTTTTGGTTTATTTTGCCTCACTTTACTTGTTTTTGACAACGCGACAATGCGACATAGCGACAATGTCCCTTCTAGGATTCCATAGTCAACACAATATATTTGGAAACTGTTTTTAAAAGGTTTTCAAGTCAGTATAGGATAGATTAGTGATGTATGAGGTAATTTAAGTTAATCATCTGATGTAAACAATTTTACACTTAGAATGTCAAGATATTTAACTCTGAATGAAGAGATGTGGATTTTGTTAGATCCACAAAAGAAGTTGGATATATAGAACGTTTAATAGGATATGTTGGGGATACATTGATGTACATTGTCAACCTAAAATTATATGAACTTGTTAATTTTGCTTCTTTTGATATTAGCATATCTACACCTTGCAAATTGATATTTATTCTTCTATTTTCAAGCCTTATTGTTATCAAGAGTACAATATCACTTAGAAAGTTCCTGATTTTTCCCTTTAATTTCTATATTTCCAGCATTCCGTTGGGGCAGTGTTGGCTAAAAGAGTTTTAAATAGTACATAGTAAAGCGCCAATGTACATTATGTTTTGGTCTGGACATATTTCACCTTGCACACATCAATTAACAATTTATTAACAATACCCCACTAAATAGTAGCTGCAAACACATTGTCAATAGAAGAATGAGATATTAGTTATAGAGGTCCGCCTATGACCCCATTCAATTTCGTGTCTGCCAGAATGACCCCACATTAATTTTTTTGAAAATCCAAATATTTCTTTTCACATTATTTTTCAGAATAATGGACAATTCGTAGTTCTATACATATAATATCAAAGCATAATGCATGTAACATTCAGAAAATAGGTTATAGCTTTCACATGAGGATTTCTCGGAAATATAGGCAATGATAGCATGAATTTAGTGTGCATTCCTAAGAAATGTTATTAATTCAATGTCAATGTTTTCTATAAGTCACAACTGTTATTTAGTGAAAGAAAATCTTTTATGTCCAACCCAAGCTAAGGAAATACGTCCTTCTCTCGCTTGTCTCTCTACTCTTACAGATTTCATAAGTTCTTCTGCGATTGAAACTTTTGTTGTCACTTTTCAGGTCAAATGATCAGTTTTGATTTATTGAACTTCGTGCTTATTGACAGTGGTTACAGTTTATTTTTCCTCAAGCTTAAGGAACATTGGACAGTTTTCCTTTCTCCAGCTAGCGATATTGTTGACGAATGCTTGTTTGTACTGATTGTTTATTGTTTTCTAACTTTCAGAAGCTGGAAAGCAGGAGGAAGGTCCTGACAACGATTGACTGGCCGGAGAAGAAACAGAAAGTTATTCCTCTCTTGGGGAAAGAGTTAACATTTCTCAAATTGGAAAACCAAATAATATGGATTCATCTACATTGATGAGTTTAAGAAAACATCCCGTACTCACTACTTTTTATTCCCTTATTGCTTTTAATTATTTACGCATTTTGAAAATTCAGTTTTATTAATGTGAACATTCCAAATATCAGTTGTTTATCAGCAAATTGTTGAATGTAAATAAAGCTATCATGACTTTGTGTTTTATTCTGTTATTTGTCATCCTGACGGTTTTACCATTGTGCAATTGTATAAAATACCTGATTTGGTAGGTGTGTTGCATGAAACACAACCTCTTTTCTGGAGGAGCGGGTAAGGGGGCCAGCACAACAGATACAGTTTCATGGAAACCAGGTTATAACCTGGGAGCTAGTTTGGAAACAACAATAAACTAAGCGCCAGCAGGTGCCTCCATGAACGAGTAGGCAAAGTCCCGACATGGATCCGGATACTATCCAGATACTGGTGCAAAATGTAGTTTCAGTTTTAATGGAAACTAGGTTATAACTTGGAAACTAGGTTGAAACCTACAACTAACTAAAACATGTAAACCAGGTTGAAACCTACAACAAACTAAAACATGGAAACCAGGTTGAAACCTACAATAAACGGAAACATGGAAACCAGGTTGAAACCTACAACAAACGAAAACATGGAAACCAGGTTGAAACCTACAATAAACGAAAAAACGGAAACCAGGATGAAACCTACAGTAAACGAAAACATGGAAACCAGGTTGAAACCTACAGTAAACGAAAACACGGAAACCAGCTGGATCTGGCTTGGAGGAGTGGGTAATGAATCGCACTGGAAACCAGCCGGAAATGGTGCAAAATTCAGTTTCAGTTTTCATGGAAACCACAATGAAACTATAGGAAACTACATGGAAACCAACTGGAAATGGTGGTTTCCATGTCGTTTCTTCTCAGTTTCAGGGTTCCGGAAACCAACTTATTTTGTAGTGCAGGTAGACCAGACAGGAGTACCTTTAAATAAGTTCATTGAGACAGAATTGGGAAGGATATACAAGACACCAATGCCGTTGTTTAGTTACTGCAATCTTACTGCTTGGAGATAGTGAAGTGGTTAAAGGACCACAATTCCAGCGTAATATGCCATTACACTTCGTATTGCCTGATAGACAACAACATATAATTACTTTATGTACACCAGACCAGCAGATGTTAATGTTGGAAAATAGAAACGACAAACCCGTTCCACTTCCGTGAGTTAGCGAGTCCATAATGAATATATGTAACAACTTTATGGATACACACTTTTGTTTATTTGCATTATGCGTACAGAGGTTTAAACTTTTACACTACTTCATAAGACATTAAGTAAAACGTGTACACCATTGATGTTCGTGAAATAGGAACAATTACTAAATATTACGACAAAATTACATTCACTTGTAATATTGGAAGTACAAAAAGGAAAAAAATATGTTGCAACATTGAATACATATAATTGATGAAGAGTTCCCTAGGGGCCAGACGATAACCTTGATATGTTCACATTTTATTGTGAGAAACTCCCATCCCATCGTGCAAATAGCAGCAAGTTTCATATGTCCCCTGAAAGTCAAATGGCGATGTTCCCATCAACGTCACATGGGTGTATTTGTGTGTATGTGTGTGTGCATGCGTGCGTGCGTGTGTGTGTGTGTGTGTGTGTGTGTGTGTGTGTGTGTGTTTTATGTTTGTGTGGGTATGGGTGTACTTGAATGTATCTACTTCTATTGTTTCTAATGCCAAGGTTTGTTTTCAATAAAGGCACTTATCTTACTTTCATGTAAAAATACTTTAATTTCATTTGTCAATGACGCTTTAACAAGTTTCCGTGTCCCCTCCCAGGAGGGTGACAACTGGATAAAATATTACCCGCTGCCACGGTAACCGCCAAACTCCCCGCCGAGAAGCTGTATCGCTAACAATCGTATGACGTCAAAATGTGATGCATGCAGTGCCCGGAGTTCGAAAACCGTTCGATTAGCCGTTTTTAGAGTTCACTATGTAGACATTTATTTCACAGACTTTCACTGCTTTATTTAAACTATTTTATACATTGAATCGTTTGCACACTCAACTTAAAACATAATTAACCTTTTTTAATGGCAGTTTTAAAAGCTTGTCAGAATATGTTTCACTTATTTAAAAATCCAGTCGAGAGGCAGACGCCATTTTGTTTTACATGTCATACAGTCGGTTGCGATCTTCCAAATAAAATAAAATGATATTTTGTACATTTAACATGGCGGTGAGATAAATACGTTGTAAGCTTCTCCCCTCTGGTAACACGGTCTGATGTACGCCTCATTGTAGCAGTGTTATCCCTCGCCTACCGGTTCGGGTAACACTGCTACAAAGAGGCGTACATCAAACTGTATTACCCTCGAGAGAAGCATACAACTTATAATAACATCTTAATATTTCTTAATGGATGGTGTATCTACACTCATTCATAAATCACCCGGAGATTTTATAACGAATTAAAAGATGATACAGAAAAATATTACATATCAAGCAAAAGCTGAGTTATCTTTTAGGCAAGAATGTAACAATGTATATATGCATCTTTCACTAATGATAACAGAAAAGAAAACCAAAAGAACACCAATACAGCAACACTACTCTAACAGCGCACAAAATGCACGTTACATACAAACTGTGAAAAGTTCAAGCTTACACTGGTCAATACATGCATGTCCCTTTTGTATATTGTTATTGTGTGGGACTCAATATTTGACAAATATTCACATGGATAATAAAGATATTGCTATTAATGCGTACATGTGGGATAAACAGGTGTGGTTTCATATACAGCCGACACAGCAATACCTCCTTACCGGAAACATTTCTGCCTTACGAAGGAAATGAGAGGAATCATAAATTTTAATGGGGTCACGGCATATTTTGTAAAGAAACCGAGGAAGAGAATGTATGTCTGGGTAAAACCAAAAGCAAGATTATTTGTTTTCAATATTTTCGGAAACAAATGGTTATGAAACATTCCATATAATAAACATTCAGACGTCAGCTTCTCAATAACGATGTGAAAAGACAAAATTGAGTTTTAAATTATCAGTCAGTCAAGTGCTGACACTGACACACGTGAGGAAAATGTTCTTCTGACTTGACCTGGAACATGTCAACACAATAAACATGTAGATCCCACCACGTTTGGCAGAGTCATAAAATAGTGTCCCAGTTTTCCAAAGACACCGGACATGGGGACACCAGAAATGGGTTTACACATTGTAGGGAATCGAACCCGGCGTGACGAACGAACGCTTTATCCACTAGGCTACCCACCGCTCACATATCATAAGAAACAATAATAACCTATCCTCGCTAGCACACATGTGAAAGTACATACATTCCCTCTTAGCTTAAGGACGACCTTAACCTTTGATGGACAATGGCCACTGACATTTGATGAACTACATGTATAAGAAATTTAATTCCTTTAGATACACCTTAGCAAACAATTACTCACTATATTTTATTTAAACATTCTTTGTAACCTTGTGGCGATCTCAAGCCTTCAAACTGTTATATTTTTTATAGTTTCTTCTTACAATATCTTTTTGAAATCAAAGAGTGTTCTGTTACTATAATATACGTTCTACATATTTTCATAAACCTTGTTCTGAATGACGCTATAGTCATTGCTCGCCTTTGCCTCGACGTTCAGCCTATCATAGTCGTTGTTGTAGATGTTGCGGCCACTAGCCTGCTCGGATATGGATGTGTAGTTGTCTGGCGGCTGTGTAAAGTTCCTGTCCACTTGGGTTGATGTGTCCTTCTTGACTTTTACTTCATCCTTCTGAGAGAGTTTATCCACTGCAACCTGCGAGGTGCATGGCATAAATGATTTGGTTTCTTGTAGATGCTTTGTAGAAAGAACGGTGGATATTATAAAATACGAAAAGTATCATGTCAGTGACTATCTATATTCACTTAACTCCCTTGTCTTACCAGGCCAACGTGTAATTCCACTGCAAGAATCAGCATGACACATACTCCAGCAACTAAGCCAATTATACCAGCTGTTGTGGGAGTGATTGCCGAAGCCCTCGGTAATTCTGTAAAATAAGAGAAGTAATATAATTTACTATATAAGTGACGTGAGGCGAAATGGATTGTAACTAAGCGACCACGATGATTCCACTTATGTACCAACATGTACCGCAGTTAAGCATGAATACCCCACTCAGACACATTATACTGACTCCGAGCCGACCAGTCCTTGTTGTATCCATTAATGCCGAGCGCCAGGCAGGGACCAACAAAGTACCATAACGTCTTTCGGTATGACGCAGCCGCGGATGGAACCCTCGACCTTCCGCTACGTATACCCGGGCGGACGCTCTAACCACTACACCACGGAGGCGGTACTTGCACTTGTTCGAACCGTAGCCAGGTATGTAGTGTTATACGGATACGATGCCGAAGGTTGACATATATACTCCAGTCAGACTGATTAAACTGACTCCTGCCCGCCCTGTCGTTGTTTTTATCCACTTCCTCCCTCCGTGCATACACAGTCACAACATTGAGAATGACAACCTTTGTTTCTGGTAGTTACGGTATGTCGATGCCACACGTATATATTCCAAACGTCAAGTCGAGAGAATAGTGATCATTTGTTATACGACAGAAACAAATAACACATGGCATAAATATATACGTAGTGACGAAAACACCATGGAATGGATGGTATTGTTTGTACACAGATGGCTACATTGAGTTACCTTGTGTACAGTGGCGCAATGCCCAGCCTTCTTGACACCCTCCACTGCAGGCACCATCTGCAGGACAAAGTGAATCACAACCTGCATATTGTTTTGTACCAGTTCAACGTTAAACGTAGTAGGGTTTGGTTCTTCATGTAACTCATTGATAGTGGGCCGATATTACTAATACGTAGAGAGATTGAACTATAAGCTCCTTCAAATCAAGACAGTTTATATCAATATATTATCAATAGATCTAAATTGATTGTCTTTCACTTATAGCCTTCCACACTCACCTGTCTGACACAGGGGCGTTTCCACCCTGCCTGACATCCATCTGGACAGGTTCCAGTGATGTGGTGACATGTGATGTTATCAGCACAGTGGCCACAGACAGAGTTACAGTTGGCACCATACTTTCCCCTGGGACACTCTGTGTGGAATATCACATAGCAGATACGATTCATCTCAACATATCAACACTGAAGTTACAGTTGATGCCATACTTTCCCCTGGGGCACTCTGTGTGGAATATCACATAGCAGATACGATTCATCTCAACATATTAACACTACAGTTACAGCTGGTACCAAACTTTACCCTGGGACACTCTGTGTGGAATATCACATAGCAGACAAAATTCAACTCAACATCTCAACACTACAGTTACAGCTGATGCCATACTTTCCCCAAGAAACACTAAATGGGGAATATCAGCATCCCGCCTCACACGCAGCGCCACAGGCCCCATCAGCAGGGCAGGAGGAACTGTTACAATGCCTGCCTGCACATCTCAGGGAACAGTTAGTTCCGTAACAGCCATCTGGACAGTCTGAAGAGAAATAGAAATAAAATCGCTATGAACACTTATATACAATGGATTGAAATTTATCCAGATAACATCATAAAATTAATGACATACACTGAAAATTTCATTTCAAAAGCAGTCCTTTCAAAGGGTTAGAATGCTGAACCTAACAATTGTAAATATGCTTGAAAAGTACCTTAACTTAGGCATTGCGTGTAACGTTATCATGGAGCTTCATCATTTTCTTGTAAACACAGTGCAATGGACACAAGTCTCTCTAATCGACTAAATGGGTACAAATAATCCCAACACAAACTGTCGAACTTTCAGGAGAAAATGTTAACGTCACCTCCTTAAATCATGTTTATTGGACTATGAGTACAAAATGAATTTCTATAGAAACACGACACGGCAGTCATGAAATGCACGAAGTCAGTACATTATCAGTAAAAACGAAACATACTTTGTAAACAGTCATCTCCAGTGAAACCAGTGACACAGCCGTCGGGACACTTTCCAGTCACGTGATCACATTGGTTAGATGGCGTCTGACAGTGACGGTTGCCGCAGGACTTGCGACATCCTTCTCCGTACATCCCGTAGACACACTCTGGAATCAATGGACTGTGTGTCAGGAAGTGTATAGTCAGCTACGTTAAGGACAATGGAATGGTTCACGCTATATGTAACATTTGGGGCACAGGATGTATACATTGCTACACTGACTTGCTGGATTCATGATATATTTCATACGCCTGTTTCTCAATCTTTCTAGTTGCAAACTCAAATCATGTAATGTAGCCTAAGAACTGACCGAGATACTTCGCTAACCATGATACCAAGGATTTTCTGAAGCAAGAGCAGTCTCAACTTGGTTGATTTTTTCACAACAATTAATATTTATAGAGAAAAATATTCGTAAACACACCGAGTAAGTTCACATACGCCTACATGTATTATACTACATGTATTCCAAAGATATGCATATAAACATATAGCGTCTGGTGGTGATGCTCGACATTGTAATTATGCAAGAAATTTCATAAGGAACCTAGTCTAAGAATGAGGGAAGGGAAACAAGGAATAAAGTATCATATTAGGTTAACTTCAACCCGGCTTAAGGCCACAATGTTATTCAACAATGACACTTTGCTCTCTACAGTCATTACTGTTTGGGGCCTGTGAAGATCCGGGTTAATATTGATCTTCAGCGTCCCATGCTTGTCGTAAGAGGCGACTAACAGGATCGGGTGATCAGGCTCGCTGACTTGGTTGACACATGTCATCGGTTCCCAATTGCACAGATCGATGCTCATGCTGTTGATCACTGGATTGTCTGTTCCAGACTCGATTATTTACATACCGCCGCCATATTGCTGGAAAATTGTTGGGTGCAGCGTTAAAACACCATAGTTCATAAAAATTACAATGTTTTACCCCATCTATCTTCTCATTGTGACGTAGTAAGCGGGACCAACACAGTCCCAATACCAACTTACGTCAGTTGATGGAGATCAATGTTCCCGATGCGCGTTCTGTCACGTGACTACCATTATTTTTGTACCATTTCGACCATTATTCCCCAACTACAATAGCAATGGCTGCTGTCGTCCTCAATTCAACACTTGTCTTTTCGTGTTCCGTTGTCCACAATCCTGAACTATAAACCGAGGGCACCGATATGAACGCTCGTGGGCACAATTGTGATTTCAACAAGTATGGAAACTATTATCACTATTGAATAAATTGTTGGTTGTTGTTTGTTGTTTAAAATGATGCTCTCAGCAATTTTCCAGCTATATGACGTAGAACATTGAGTGTGGTTCAGACGTTCCAGTGATTAACATCATGAGCATCAATGTATGTAATTAGTATATAATGTATCCACAAATTATTTCTTGCAAAATGTCTTTCACTGTAAAAGTCCTGAGAATATGATACCCTTTGCTAGATATAAATATAAACAGAGGAGCAATGTCTGTTTAAGGCATAACAATGAGAACACTGTATACGCTACATTAATATAACACAATCAGTGGTCGGATATACAAAGAAAGGCGGGGATTATATATATATATATATGTATATATATAGGGAAATATTGGGATATATACTATTCAAAAGAGAAACGCATAACCCAGAAATCTGTTGCGAAAATGTTGTATTTTCAAACATGCATAACTCGTCCACAAACAGACTTTGGTACATGAATATTTGCAGCAGTTTAGAAGGAAGAAAAATGTCTATACAACCAAGTGGATAAGTTTAGGCAACGGAGACGTTGAGTGCCATGGAAACGACGTAGCAAGGGCCCGACGTCGGATCTCCTGTCACTCAGTCCAATTTCTCTCAACCTGTTCTGTACAGTTTGACCGGATGTCCTCCGAAGTCCAGACACCCTGGCTGCAGTGCTCTCACCCGTGGCAGTACGATCACGCAAATGTAGAACCCGGATGTACCGATCTTGGGCTTACAGTGGTGACTCGAGGTTTTGCCTGTACGGGGACGGTCATTTGTTATGCCTGTTTGGTTGTAACGAGCTGCAAAGCCGTGATATCGTGCTAAGACTACCAATCTTCTGTTGCCAGGCGTCTGATTGTTAATCTCCAGCGTGCATTCTTTCAATGGCGATGTTCGGTGTCGCAACCTCATGACGTGGCGAAGTGATTGAACCTTGAAACTCCTTCAAAACGAATGCCGATTTCCGAAAGTTATCTGGATTTTATAGCCAGACAGTGCATGCTTTCTTTGCTGCACAATTTAAACTGGAAGGTGATTTCTGTTGCGTTGTGGCGATGCCTTTTTAATCCTTGTAAGAAATCTCATCAAAATCAACATTTTCAGGTGCATTGGGGAAAATCATGTTATCAGCACTTTGTGACATATTTTGACGATTGTTTGAACACAAGAGGTAATTAATAGATTTTTAAAATACAAAATGCCTATGGGTTTCTTTTTCTGGACAGAATATTACCTTGTCTACAGCCAGTTCCCTGATATCCAGCCGCACATCCACCGATTGGAGTCCATCTTGCAGTGACGTGTATCCGCAGGACTGGTCACAGTTGGCTCCATAATACCCAGAGGCGCATGCTGGTAAATACAGAAAGTGAATCTGTTCGTAACATCAGCGTGTCAGGTTGATGCTGAAGGAAAACCTGAAGTGATGCAGGTCTGAGACGTTTCTGACTTTGCAGCTACCTTCTGTTCATACAGAATTCTTATCTAAAGTCTGAGAATCAAGGATAGAAGTTTCTGACAAAGGGGCGCAACTAAGCGCATCTGTAGCACTTAAGTGTTCGTGCTGGAACGTTCACCTCACATTCCATCTCAAGGATATATATTTCAGGCAAAGGGGCGCAACTACGCACATCGGTGGCACCTGGAACGTCACCTCACAGTCATAATGCAGGTTTATCATTCTTGTGCAGTGTGTCAGCGTTACAGGCAGACTGGCATCACCCAAGACAGACCACGATCAGGCAGAACACATGTGACAACCCAACAGGAAGACCGCCATCTGAGTACTTTTCATCTGCGCAACCGGCGGCAACGGCTGTAAGGCCATGTCATTAGTCGACGTACCGTGCTACGACGTCTACGTGCAGCAGGTATCAGAGCTCGACGTCCCCTGCGTGGAATGGCATTAGCCCAGGAACATCGTCGTCGTAGGTTACTGTGGGCAAGGACTGTACGTCGCTGGCTAATACGAAATTGGCAGCGAGTGTTTTAGAGACGAAAGTCGATTCACCATGTTCCATAATGATGGCCGGGTGCGAGTATACCGTCGCAGGGGAGAAAGATTAGCGCCGAACTGTGTCTTTGATATTGTGAACAAGTGCTTAGGAACACCTAAAATTATCTTTGTTAACATTTATGCTTGCAGAGTAACATTTTCCATTTTCTGTTTACGCATCTACAGCAATATATATCACTAAAACGTAACAATATTTAAAACAGTATTTGCATAAATTTCACATGTAGACTGATTCTATAGGGCATAAAGAGAGGCTAGAATACATGATATGATACACTGGGAACCGTAGACAGACCAAGAAGTGGACGTCAACACATCACAACGCAGCTGAAGCAAAGGTACATATTCATTAAAGGAGCGTAACGTTTCTTTTAGCGTATAGTGAATGAGTGAGTTAATATTCATAGTCACATCGGCAATATTTCAGCCATATCGTGACGGGAACAATTTATAATTATATTAAAGATCAGTAAAGTTAAACATTAAAAGCATGTTGACGAAGAACAGTAAAACTACTAGTGTATCACAGATATCCATTTAAAACTAGTAATTAAATCTAAAATAGTTCAACTATAATTGACAATACAATATACAAACAGGCTATAGATTGCCAACAACTGAAGGTAGATCACAATCCTAGGGACCATGGGGACTTACAGTACATTTGCTTCCTGCCTGAGCCCTAGCTGGATTTACACCATATCCCTTCAGCCGTTAGCAACGTAGACAAATCTAGCCATACATTTAAAAATACACATATTCTACGATTAAAAATGTGTGGAAGTTTGAAATTACTTTGAATGTTTGTGGACTGACGACCCTCCCAGGAGGTTTAGCGTTTGGTGTACATACTGCTGGAATAAAGTAACCGTACATTATTTGATGTGATGCCTTTTTATGCGAAACGATAATAGCATGATTTATGGTGGTTTCCATAATAACTGATCAACTGTTGACAGGATAATAATATAATCGGTATGATTTGACACCAGGCATCGTGACGCCCTCTTTAAGAAATGTGGTGTCAAGCGTCAGTTCTGGGGAAATTCGGCATCGTGTGTGTCCACCATTGGCGTTGACTACGCATGGACGACACTAAGCGATTGAAAACGTTTGGTGAATGTTGTTCCGTGTCTGAAATAACGCTTGTCCCAATTCAGCTAATGTCAATGGCTGATTCTGGGCTTGGCGTTAACGCCGCTCCATTTCATCCCAAGCGTGCTCGATAGGGGACTGGTTCGGAGATACAGCTGGTTAGGGTAGTACCGGAATGTTCTGCTCAGGAATCTGACACAACACGAGGAGACGTGTGGACGGGCATTACCATGCTGAAGCGTAAAGTTACGTCTCTGTCCATGAAGGAACGGCTGCACATGAGGCCCAATAAGCTAATCCCTGATCATTGTCAAGTTGTGTTCGACCATGAGATGTGATGCTTCCCTATACCATCACGCCACCGCCACCAAACTGTCATGGTTGAACAATGCACATATCAGCATACCATTCACCTCGCCGTCTGTACACCCCTGCCATCTGGAACAAAACACCATCCCAATCTTGTCCTCCTGTACCGTAGATGCTGTCTGTGACGTTGGAGCAAAACTGGACGTATTGCTGACCCGGGGGCGGATGTTACGATCCTTTAGTTGGTTCCGTTCAGTCCTGGAACTGATTGGACGTAAGCCAGGAATGGCCGCGAGCCCTCCACATCCTCAATACTCAACGTTTTCCTGCTTAATTGTTGTAGAAAATGCGACGCCGCTTTTGGCAGACGAGAGTTTACATTTGTGTTTTTGTTGTTTAATAGAAGCTACAAAACCCTTTCCACACATAAATGACAGTATATAAAACCTTCACACTGAATGAAAGAACCACACACTGAACAGTACCTCGCTGGTGTGACTATAGATCCTCACTCACTCTAATTCAACGTCTTTTGTGCAGGGGTGTTTCTACGGAGAGTATGGCAAGCACTGTATGTTTACGTAATAATAAATATAAATGGTTTAAAACAATCCAGCCAGCATTGTGCTTCTCGTCAAAGATGATCAAAAAATAGATCATTCATGGGAAGAAGATTCTTTTTCTGTCTCCCGGATAGCTTATCTGACCTTGAGGAAGTGCTGAGTGGCACCCCCCTTCAGTTGGCCCCAGGAGCACGTGCCATACTTGCCATACCTCAGGTACGCCACTGGTGTTGTGCATTAATGTTGCCTGTCGTGGGTCCTCAAAGGGTTCATCAGTGCATGACGTCCCAATGTGTCAGCTCCATATACATATAGGAAGACGTGTGATTTATTTTCGCAACGCTATGCGTGAAGTATGTTCAAACAAAATCACCAACAGACAATCATACAGGTAACCCCGTAACTAGTTCTGTTTAATAACGACCACGCTTTGACCTTTGAACTCGGCCTCCTTTCAGGCATACACCCTCAAAGGGGTTAAAGTATTGTAAAATTTATTTAGAACTGATATGAGCACAACAACAGCCTTGCTGTCTTGTCAGTGAGTGAGGTCTCACAGGAAGTAAGGTAGTGAGGCGCGGTGAGGCGAGTATCCCCACACGTACATAGAATGAATGAATTTGGTGACTGGTGAGTAAGGGACTATGGTTTTACGCCGCTTTGATGAATATTCCAGCAATATCACTGCGGGGGACAACAGGATTGGGCATCACTCATTGTGCACATGTGGGGAATCTAACCCGGGTCTTCCGCGTGACGAGCGGACGCTTTAACCATTAGGCCACCCCATCACCCCGTGCAACTGGTGACGATAGCTGCTTAACTTATGTGCCTCAACTTCGTTGTGATATCACGATACTACTTCGTTGTCAATCAGCATTTTAGCGCTTTTGGACGACATACCACCTTTAAATACTTCATTGTTCTGAACAGAATCTACTCAAGTCACATTCCTTAATTTACAAGTCACCACCTGGGCAGGCAAGAGTGTAAAACATGACATAATTATACTATGAAGGATAAATAATGTTCTTATTGTCTATCGTTTGTCAAATGATATCGATTTCCTAATACGATTACACCTTCAAACAGATGCTAATTCAACAAGACAGTCACTGTATACGCTACAATGGGTGAGTTGAGTGAGTGAGTTAAGATTTCAAAGTCACATCGGCAATATTGCAGCCATATATCGTGATTAAAAACAAGTTATAATTTTACAATAAATAAAGGTAAATTATAAAACCCTGTCAGCGAATGACAGTAAAACAACTAATTGATCACAGATTTCAATTTAAAACTAGTAATTAACGCTAAAACAATTTTACCTATGGGTGACAATACAATATGAAAACAGGCTATATATTGCCAACAACTGAAGGTAGATCACTATGCTAGGGACCTTGGATATACTACAGTGTGATTGTCAGGTATCAGGTCCACAGTGGGAGTGGTATCTGGTATTTCGTTCATTGTCTCAATGAATATTTTAAAATTAAACAACTTATATCAATGAAGGTTAAAATGTACTTTACCTGCTGCAAGACTGAGACTGGCCACCCACAACACAACACAGGTCCCCCACCGCCGTTGTGTGACACAGATGCTGTGAGACCAGGAAGATTATCGTCTAGCTTGTATGTGTCAAGGACGGCCATCCGATTTGTCCAATAAAATGTACTTCACAATAAAACAAATATAGATAGGAACGCTTATTTTCTTCCTGGTCTGGGCTGCAGTGTGTCACAATGGCGCCGTGGGCCTGTGTTGTGCTATGAGACAACACGTTAAAATATGAGTCCTCAGTCTTGCAGCAAACAAGGTAAGAAGTGTCTGAGTTTTATGCTTCCACTGCATGGGTCACTCTCGCTTCAGTATAAAGTTTATCTTTAATTGTTTATTGAGACAATTTCAACTTCGCCACCTACCAGGTACCAATGGTGGGTCTGATACCTGGCAATCACATTGCAGCATATAGAGTCTCGTTTAAGCATCTGTTTGAAGGTGTATAGAAAAGAAATGTCCCTCGTGATATCATTTGACAAACGATAGACAATAGGAACAATGTATATCCTTCATTGTCAAATTATAATTATGTCATGTTTTATACCCTTCCCTGCTCGAAATAGTGACTCGTAAATCAAAGGAATGTGACGAGTAGATTATGTTTTAGAACTGATTACAAAATTATAGTAATGAAAGTATTGAAAGGTTGTCTTTCGTCCAACTGCGTTTACGTGCTGCATGGCGGTTTTATCCATATTGTCAGTGTCGGGATATCACTAACGCAGG